GTAAAGAAAAAGGGCGAACAAAGATGTCTTCTTCATAATATGAGAGTTGCTCAAGTGGTGAAATGCAATGAGTCGCATATTACGACCTACATATTGTCATGAAGATACAGATTTAATTTTCATTCTGAACTTTTTATTTTTTAATTTGTCATTCTTAGAAAAAATTAGGTGTCTCATAATTTTTTGTTTATTATTCAATTAAAGAAGTGGACACTTAAATATAGACTATTCATTTTCTATAATTATTCTTTTTCAAAAGAGAGTAAAAGTTCTCAATGTGATGACCCGTCTTATGTTTTAGAACATAATTTTGCGCTATGAAACCTTAAATACCTCATTCGAGCCTTCCTCGATTTACATGCACAGCCCGGGCGTTTTTCCCGTGAAAGCTTTTAAGTTAAAAACTGAGAAAATATGAAATTTTTGCCTTAAAAATCCATTTGAGTTGACTTCGGTCAACGTTTTGAGCAAACGGATATGAATTCATGTTTTGACGGTCCCGATGGGTCCGTATCGTGATATGGGACTTGGACGTTTGCCCGCAATCGAATTCGAAAGTCCCTAACCCGAGATATCGGACTTTGTCGAAATATGAAAGTTAAAGCCTTAATGAATTTGAAATATTTGACCAAAACTTGACTTTTTGGATAACGGGTCCGTATTTTGGTTCTGGAATCCTATATAGGTCCAATACTATATTTATGACTTGTCTGTCAAATTTTGTGAGAAACGGAGTTGGTTTGACGTGATTCGGACATCCGGTTGTTAATATAGAAGTTTCAAAATTTTCTTAAAAATTTTATTTGATTTGGTGTTCAATTCATAGTTTTAGGTGTTATTTTGGCGATTGGATCGTGCGAGCGAATTCGTATGATGTTTTTAGACCTGTGTCCATAGTTGGTTTGGAGCCCCGAGGGCTCACATGAGTTTCGGATAGACTACGGAGTGAATTGAACTTAGAAAATCATAGTTGGTGCATCAGACCTGCAGATTTTGCATTTGCGAGATCTGGCTCGCAAATGCGAGCCTCGCATCTGCGAAGGGACTATCGCATTTGCGAGCAATGGGTAGGGGTGGACCTTCGCATTTGCGAAGTTTAAGTCGCATTTGCGATCCTCTCTTATCCGCATTTGTGAACACTTGTTCGCATTTGCAATGACAGCAGGCCTAGGGCACTTTCATATTTGCAAAGAAATTGTTGCATTTGCGGGTTCGCTCGCAAATGCGATAACTGCAGCTGAACAAAAGATGACTTATACGGGATTTTTGATTTATTCTTCAAATTTTCAAACATAAAAACACAAGAGACGATTTTCCAAAGAACTTTGCTTCCCCAAATCATTGGTAAGTGATTTTAAACTAATTTCTTTCAATCTTTCACTACTTTTTCTAAGATTTCAACCTAAAATCTAAAGTTTTCATGGTGGAATTGGGGGTTATGGGTCGAAATTAGGGATTTAGACCTCAAATTGAGGTCGGATTCTAAAACAAATTACATACCCGGGCCCGAGAATTGACTTTTGTTGACTTTTTCAATAATGACCTAAATTGAATTCTTTGCAATTGAGGGTAGTTCCTAAGGCTTAATTTGAATCGTTTGGTTGGTAATTTGCTAGATTCTATTGGTTCAGAGGCTCGTTTGAAAGAAAAAGTTGTGATTGAGCTTTGAGTGGATCTTTGGAGCGAGGTAAGTATCGTAGTTAACCTTGACTCGAGAGATTAGGACTTGTTTTCCTATTTTCTATATATTTAGATGTTGGGTACAATGTATATGTGATGTGACGAGTACTTATGCGTTGTTGTCGGGTTAAAGCATGTGGGTGGGACTTGTTCCTTGTAGTTTATTGCTTACTTTGATCTTGTTATCCATGTTTAGACTACTTACTTACTAAATTGATCGTTCTTATCGTGTTTACGGGCTTTTGTGATAATTGAGTATTGACTCTAAGGTTGAGATTGGTATTGTGGAACCATTGTTGAAATAAGGCTTGTTCTTGTTGATTCTATCTCCCTGCTATTACGTGTTCATTGTTATGTGGTAAGGGAGAGTGTTAATGCACGAAGGATGATGTCGTGGCATATTGTGAGTGTTAATGCACGAAGGGTGATGTCGTGCCATATTGTGAGTGTTGATGCACGAAGGGTGATGTCGTGCCATATTGTGAGTGTTAATACACGAAGGGTGATGTCGTGTCATGTATGAGAGTTAATGCACGAAGGGTGATGTCGTGTCATTTCTATTGATTTTATAGTGAGGTTGAGGGTAAAAGTATGAAGGGTGATGCCGTACATTTTATTTCCTTTACTGTGTTTACTTGTTCTTATTGGTTCATAGTATATTGGCTGTTCAAGTTACCATTCTGCTGTAGTTTTCTATCTCGTATTCCTCTCAGCATGTTACTCCTCCTAATAGTACATGTTTAGCTGTTATTTGTACATATAGTATTAAATTGCACAGGTTTATTATGTGGGTGTCTTGTCATAGCCTCGTTACTACTTCGTCGAGGTTAGGCTCGACACTTACCAGTATCGGTTGTACTGATACTGCACTCTGCACTTCCTGTGCAGATTTTGGTATTGGTCCCAGCTGATCGAGAGGCGTAGCAGCTCGGACTGGTTCATCGTAGACTCAAGGTAGATCTGTTGGCGTTCGCAGACCTTGAAGTTCCCGTCTATCTTTTCATTTTTTTTTTCCTATTTCTTTCGTTCAAATAGTTGTATTTCTTTCAGACTTTACTTGTAGTAAATCCTAGAAGTTCGTGAATTGTGACTCCAGATCCGGGTAGTAGTAATTAATGAAGTTTTTATATCATTCCGCACTCGTTGTATTTCATTTTAGCTTATTTGTTGTTATTTAATGAATTGAATAAGGATTGACTTAATAATTCTCTAGCGTCGGCTTGCCTAGCAAGTGGAATGTTAGGTGCCATCACAGTTCCGACGGTGGAAATTCCGGATTGTGACACTCACCTTGATTTATCAATCAATCTTATCCTTTAAGCATTCAACCGAGACATTGGAGATTGAGAAAACTACAAAATTATGCATACAACTTTACCGGTACATTGACATTTTGTTATTTCCAGAGTTTGTTAGTACTTTGTGTTTGCAATGTGAATGGCTTTAGAAGTTATCGGTTTAATGATTCGCTTTTGGATCTGCGAACTGTGACAGAACACTATTTACTTTTCACAAAAAAAGTATTTGAATCTGTCGGCCGTTGAGAAAACTAGCGACTCTTTTATGGAAAAAAATTGAAACTAAAAACGGGATTTCTTTTGATTTATGAATAAGTTTTATCCTTTATAATGTACATAACTATGCTTTATTTCAAAGAAGAAAAACTGATCTGCTTTAGAATTGTTACATTGCAAATTTTTCTGGCAAAGAAATTTTTGATAAAAAGTGAGTAGAATTTTCGAATTAAAAACTTTTAAACCGGCAATCCTACATGAATCCCAGTAAAATTCAATAACTATAACGTCCTGTTGGTCAAGTTTTAAGGAATGTCCTCATAAGAAGTGTTGTTGGTTTTTGTGCTGAATATTTAAATATCAACAGAAGGTAAAGTGATGAAAATAACTCTTCTGCATACATATTCAGTACGTGGAATGTATATGTTGATATCCCATTTGATAGTTTAACATTGTATGTTCATGAATTTCTATTTTATCATTTTTATTCAACAAATAAGTTGTCAAGGGAAGAACAATTAATGGTCATTGAAGTAATTATTCATGAGCTTAAGAGAGCAGCAGATGGTGTAGATAGCAAACTGAAAAAAGAAAGTTGAGACGAATGTTCTGGTTGTGACAGGTCATAAGTAGCTCCGAGTGGTTCACATTCTCTCCAGTGACGAAAGAATTTTTTTACATATCTATCAAATAATTTTATATATAGTGTATTAAAGGAATCATGAAAATAGTAGATAACGAAAAGATGTTTGGTAAGTAAAGATTAACCTTATTTTATAAAATTATGGATTCATATATTAATTTATTTTCATGAAGCGCAAGCAGTACACTAGTATTTGGATATATTTTATTGATTATGAACTTTTTCCAACTGGTGTCAGCAGGTGGTAGCTAATTAGTTTTCCGTGCAAATCTTGGCAGCAGAGTTAAGTAGCTAACTCGATAATACGTGGATCAGACTTCAGAGTGCTTAGATTAAGTATCTGCTGCTCCAAACCTGGTCTCTTTTGAACACTTCTGCATAGACTTGTCGAGTTCATTAAATTTATCAAATGAAACACATATCACTTTCCTAGGTACAATGGTATTAAAAGTGAATCTATTTCTTCCCTGCATCAGACCTAGTCAAACTCAAGCCAGAAGTGAAGATCAACGAAGCTGAATATTTGAAGGAGAAGGTGGTAATCTCCTTCAAATATTCGTGGTAATCTCCTAGTTTTTCCCTAGCTGCCGCCTGCCGGTTATAAAGACTAAGCACAACCAGCGCAGCAAAACGTAAGATATGCAATCAACTGAAACCACTCTGTTCCCATCTCATAGCATTTTTACTTCATGCTTACAGCTTGCACAACATTTGACATTTGTGGATTCATACCCTGAGTAACTCACATACAAATGCAAACAAATTTATGTTGCTGCTTATGAGACTAATCAAAATACAAAGAGTCGGAATTAATCCAGCACAGTGGACCAAGTTTGATTGTCCTTCATGTGCATCCACAGTGTTTGTATGATTCAGATGATCAATTCCATACACACACGCACCAAAAAAAAAAAACAGGTCTCAAGAGAAGAAAAGTTAAATGTAAGATCAATCTTAAGTTTTTGCAGCTTTTAGTAGATACAATTTAACTTGAGGCAAGGAGAATCTTGACCATTACAGCCTTCTGTATCCAGATACGGGCTAAACATTTAGAAACAAGTTCCATAGCTGGTGAGAGTATACTCTAAAAATATACCTAACAGCTATGGATAAAAAGTTATGGAGAAATGAAACGAAGACAGCATGCTTATGAGCAGAAAAAGTAAGCTTAAGCATATATCATTGTTATATTTCAAAGTTGTTTGGACACAGACAAGATGAATTTGGGAGTTAAATATGTGAGATGCACATCTACAAGGTGTGTTTAACCATTACAAGGAGAATTTGTTTACTCCATCACTAGCATTCGTACAAGACCAGATGCATTAGACAAGTTATCTTGTTGGCACATCATTGAAATCATTATTTCCCACACTTCTTGACTAATACAATTTACAGAGGCCATTTTATTCAGAGCTCTCAGCAATGATTCCTTATCTCCTTCTTGAATTAACCCGTGGAATAATTTATTTAAACTTGTATCACGAGGAATATATCCTTTGAAAATCATCTCATCCAAAATAACTGCAGCTTCCTTAAACTGCATCGCTTTACATAGCCCATCGAAATATATCCTATAACTAACCACATCGGGTTTACACCTTCGTCTCGGCATATCATCCAATAGTTCACTTGCTTCTCTCAATTTCCCATCATTACAAAGGCCCCGAAGTATCACATTGCAACTAACTACATCGGGTTTACACCCCTTCCCTTCCATCTCATCCAGAACTCTAAACGCAGAATCGAAATCTTTCTCCTGACAATAACCGTGCATTAATGCATTGAAAGTAACTGTGTCACATTTGCAACCATTCTTTTCCATCTCTGTCAACAAACCATATACTTCTTCCTTTCGACCGACCCTGAAGTATGCACTAATCAAAGTAGAATATACAGCTGAATCCAACTCCACTTTCTTTTTCAACATCTCCTCCTTCAGCTCAACAGCAGAATCCAAATTATCAGCCATACAAAGTCCTTTAATCAACGCGACATACACAAAAGCATTAGGCTTCAACTTGAAATTCCTCTCCATCATCTTTTTCATCCTAAACGCCTCGTTCAACTCCTGGTTCACGCAAAGCCCATTAATCAGCGTCCCGAAAGTGACCACATTTGGCTGAACTCCTCTCTTTTGCATTTCGGCGAACACTTCGCGTGCTCTATCCAAATCGCCACACAAACAACTCGCATTCATCAGTATATTAAACGTACAAACATCTGGGGTTCCATAACTTTCAAAGTTCTTCAATATTTCAGCGATCTTTGCATACTCTTTACAAACTAAAAGTGCATTCAACAAGCTATTCACAGATTTTATACTTCTTGGGCAGCGAAAAGAAGGTATTTCGGTGAACATATGTAGAGCCTTTNGGGGTTCCATAACTTTCAAAGTTCTTCAATATTTCACCAATCTTTGCATACTCTTTACTAACTAAAAGTGCATTCAACAAGCTATTCACAGATTTTATACTTCTTGGGGAGCGAAAAGAAGGTATTTCAGTGAACATATGTAGAGCCTTCTCGGGTAAATGGGCTCTTCCGTAGAATGAAATAACATTGCAGAAAATGACTTCTTTAGGAGAAATACGAGTGTCATGCCTTAATTTATCGAGTATTTGTTCCATTTCGTTGAAGAGTTTGGCTCTGCCAAGTTTGCAAATGATGAGATCATAGCTGGCGGGAGAATAGCGAATGGGTTTAGTTGTGTGGTTTGTTCCATGGCTGGGATTAGGATTGAGGAACAGTTGAAGGGCGATTTTGGGATCCTTTTGCTGGCGAAGTAGAGAGGAGAGTCTGAATGGCGATAGCTTTTTCACTTTCTCCATTTCGTATTGTCACTGAATTCTAAGTTGTTATTTTGAACTTGGAAACTGTACCGACTTCCAAGGACGTTTTGTGGTATATTTTGTCAAAATAAATTTGGGTCTTATTTTATAAACACATATTTGACCATAGATTTTGCCTATATTTTGGCAAAATCTCAAATTCCAAATTCTAAATCTCAAAATCAGCTCAATAGCTAGTTTTGGACCAAAATATTACTATTACATTTTTTAAAAATTACTCCAAACTTTTATATTTCAGAATTCACGATGTGAATAATATTAGGCATGTTCACGATGTGGATTATAGTTGGTATGTTGTTATACATAATAGCTACAAAAGGTGTTTCTAAGATTTCTAATTAAGAATGAAAAGACTGGATACCACCTCACTCAAATATGTTTGTTATTAAGTTTTCTTTTCATGCTCGAAAAATTCGGATATGGAGGGAAGCACTAGTCACTACTGCGATGCAGTGAAAGTTACACGAAGAAACTATAGTCCCATCAAGCATTGTTTGATACAATGCACTGACCAATCACTTTGTTTTAGGGGCGTTTGGCCATAACAAAATTTTTATTTTTTTTCGAAATCACTGCTTGACCATCAAAATTTTAATTTTTAATTGAAGATTAATTTTGGAATTTTTCAAAAATTTTAAAAACTTCAAAAAATTATTTTTCAAAATTTTCACTTTTAAATCAATCACAAAAGTTTAAAAACAATCCAAAATTATATTCATATCCAAACACAACTCTAATTTTCAAATACCATTTTTTACTTGATTTTTTTCTAGAATTTTATAATTCTTATGTCCAAATGTCCACTAACGAGCGTAGTCTTGTTAAAACTTTAATATTATACCTCGATTGAATTTATTCAGGTTAATGCTATATTTGAATTTTTTTATATTGTGTGTATACAATATATGGATAACGATGTACTCCAACATGCTTTCGATTTGAAATTGTTTCATCTAAGTTTAGCACACACAAACAATAAGTAAGGGCATTTAGGGCTTTTCAGTTGTTACCATTTTGGGTAATACAGAAATTATAAACACTCCAGGAAAAAGAAAAAAAATTATAAACCCTAACTCCACATAAGTTTATAGAATGACAGAACCAACCCATTTAGGTTCGCTGAAATTGAGTTGAATTGGCACCGGAACTATTTTCAAAAACCCATCTAAACCCGCCCCCTTTAGAAACAAACAAGAAAACCTCCCGCTCTTTCAGATTTCTCTTCTGCACAAATCTGAGTAATACTCAATTTTGAATTTTACGCTTCACTATCGAAGAATAATCGATTTTACAAAGTATACAATGAGGGAAGAGGAAATAGAGAGGCTAAGAGGTGTAGTGAGGGATTGCGTGAGCAAACATTTGTATTCCTCAGCCATCTTCTTTGCTGACAAAGTGGCCGCAATTACTTCTGACCCAGCAGATATATACATGCAAGCACAAGCGTTGTATCTAGGTCGACACTATCGCCGTGCTTTCCACCTTCTCAATGCTTCCCAAATCGTCCTTCGTGACCTCCGCTTCCGTTACCTCGCCGCTAAGTGCCTTGTAAATGCCTTACCCTTTTTCTCTACATTTTACTATCTCTATAAAATTCCAATTAATTCTCTGGTTGCTATTTAGAGTAGGGTCTAAGTTATATACAGTGTCAGTGTGAAGAATTATTTGCACTATCATGTTAAAATGTGGGATTTGTGATCTTTAAAATAAGACAAGTTAGCTGCTGCAACATGTAAAAGTGACTTGATGGTGTAAATAATTCTTTATGCTGACAATGCATAAATTGAACTTGAGTAGAGGTACATCTATTTGGCTCCATTTAGACCCATTTTATTCCAAGATTGTGTATTTTGCACTTGTATATATTGGGTTAATGTTTAATTTGATACAATGAATTCATGATATAGGTGTTAATGCAATGATAGGCTACTTACTGAGTTGTGATTTAACAAAAAGTAGGTTTAGGTTCTACTTTCTCGAGATGACATGGATTAAAGTTGTGTTGGTAGCAAATGGGGTTTAAAAACTACCAGAAAGAACAGCATTTTGCACTTATTTATATAGGGTAATTATTGGGGATTCAATGGTTAATTGCTTTACTGGTAATCTCTAGATGTTAATGGAGTTAAACAGGCTACTTTTTGTGCTTTAACATCAGAACTGGTGATTCATCAAATTAAGTTTGGGCTATAGTTTGTTCACATGAAGGATAATGGATATGTTGTGCTTTAGTAGTAAATGGGGCTCAAATACTGCTTAAAGAATTGTATTTTAAGCTTCTATTGTGTGGTTCAAGGGCCCTTTTACATAAAACTTAGATATCTATTTTGATTGATTGGAACTTGAGTCAGGTGTTAAATTTCAGGGCTTGCGATCACTACTCAGATGCTTGTTAAAGCGAGAAGCAAAGCGCTCGCTTTTTTGAAGTGAAGCGGAATTTAAAAAAAAAAATTAAAATAAATACTGCATAGACAATATTCAATACTTCAATGTAAAAACTAAAGAGTAGCATCAATTAAAGCACAAAATGAGCATCCTATTCTTCTACAAGATTGTCAAATTCTTGTATTCCACTATCATTATTATATTGCTCGTCATATTCTTCAACTTCTTCTTCATCAACTAATAAGAACTAAGAATAAAGGATATAAAAATAAGAGGAAGGACAATATGCCATTCCAGCAAAAAATGGGCAGCATTTCAAATGAAAAAACAGTGCAAGAAAATGAAGAAGAAGAATGAGAAAGAAGAACTGAAGGGAAAAAAAAATTTCGCCGGCATTTCGCTGCTATTTGGACGCTGAAACAGTGAAAGAAAAAGAAAAAGAAGAAGAAAAAGAAGAAGGAGGAGGAGGAGGAGGAGGAAGAGGAGGAAGAAATCACATACCTGGACTTAAAAAGTGTAGAAAACTTGAACCCTAGTCGCCTCTTTCTTTCTCTGTTGCTGCTGGTCGATATGTTTTAAAAAAAGAACATCCTTTTAAATTAAATAGGTGGGCAGCCCTTTAAAATAGAGAAGCACACGCTTCTTACGCATCGCTTCGCATCCTCGCTTCTCGCTTCTCGCTTCTCGCTTTTTAGTGGGAAGCGAGCGCTTTTGAATACCTGCCACGCTTCAGATAGCAGAAGCGCTCGATGGGTCGCCTCGCTTCGCTTCCTCGCTTAAAACGAGGAAGCGCCCGCTTTTCACAACACTGATTAGAGCAACAATAAATAATTTTAAAGTGAATTGGAAAAAAGAGTATTTAGTATTAATTCTAACGAGACTATTGTAATTCCTTTTAAAGAATGAAATTTCTCTAGTAGAATTGTAGTAATGTACTTAATTGTGTTTTATTCATATATCACAGATTGTATTTTTAGTTTTTTGTAGGATGTCATTACAATAATTGGTTCATTTGATTACATCTTTAAATGTCGACACCAGTTACACAAAATCCTGCGTACGCCCTGTGTCTGGATTAATTTAACCTATAACAATTTCCACACTCTGATGGATTGTCCCCAAATGGTTGTGGGAATGGTTGTTGTCTCTTTATATGGTCTTGGATAATTCTTCACCTTGTTAGCTAGTTTTTGAGATTGCGTTAGGTACAAGGTCCATGTTCTTATCTTGGTACTAGAGCCAAATCTATCCCCGTTATTGTGTTTCACATTGTTAGGCCCCATGTTATACTATTCATGCTCCTTGTTATCCATGCGTGTGGTAGGATGTTAGATTGTCCCTCATTGGTTGGGTGCGGTAGAATATTAGATTGTCCCACATTGGTTGAGGGAATGTGGCAATGAGCTGTTATCTCCTTCTATAGTTTTGGACAATCCTCACCTAATGAGCTAGCTTTTGAGTTCTAATTAGGCCCATGACCCCTTTTCTTATCACACTCCCCAGTTGCAGTTGCACAATGCTAAAATATTTAGCTCAACAATTTGGTTGATGATAGTATGCCCAGCCTGGCAAGCCCCACTCTATCTACCGGTGTTCGGGTTGCTTAAGGCAGGCGTAAGCCATTAAATTCGGTGTAGAGAGATCGCGCGCTTCACCTCGTTTCGGCATTGCTTCAATGCAACACTAAGGCATTAAAACATGCGTTTTACCCTATGTTGTGTGGACTCTCTAAAACAGTTGCCGCACCCGTGTCAGATCCTTCGAAAATACACTATTTTTGGAGGATCCGACATGCACCCATCGATATTTTCGGCGAGTCCGGACAACATAGGTCTTGCGTCCACGGACTTGGTCTTGAAGAGAAAGACTCTAAACAATTAATATTTCACTACATTTTTCAAATATTTTCTATATAATTGTTGTTTGTTGTGGTTATTCTGCTTGAACTACATGCATAGTTTTTATTTTGTTCTTCATTAGAGACCATATTTTATTTGCATTTTGCGCTTAAAGTCCATCATACCTCTGCGCTTCTTTTTTCGCTTTTACCTTTGATAACACAGCTACATTAGGCAAGGTGTTACCCTTGAATGTAGGTCACCATCTTTCTTCTTTTAGTTACTGACATGCCACACACCTAAGTACGAATTTGGTTAGGATTTAATGTTTAGTATCTGCCCATAGATTAACATCTTGTTATGAATAAATCAATCAACTAAACTTCAATCCCTATATAATTGAGGTTGTTGATATAAACTATCTATATCCGCTTTACTTTATTCAAAGTCCATATTCCATTCCAATACTCATGTGTCTCTCAAGACTAATTAGGGGTTCTCCAAATATAGAGATTCTCTGAAGTCCGAACTTATCCATATGCTAACATATACCTAACTGACCAGACTAAACGTTAGGTGCAACAAGTTGGATCCTACTATGTTCTAAAATAATCTGCTTAAAGTTCTTTTTAAAATTTCTGTAATTTTAGGAAGAGCTGAAGGAGTGGGATCAATGTCTTCTAATGCTGGGTGATGCTAAAGTGGATGAACATGGAAATATTACTGACACAAGGGAGTGCAATAGTATGTACTTAGACAAGGATGGTGAAGATCGCGAAATAAATGTAAGTTTCTCCTCTCCCTGACCTAGTGGATTTTCGGGTTGAATCTAGTATATTACGAATCCCTACTTTCCCACAGAATCAAAATTCGCTCTATGTATATCTTTGACAGATTTTATCAGCAATATGCTTTTTGAGGGGCAAGGCATATGAAGCTTTGGAGAATCGCGCACAGGCTCGGCTATGGTTAGTGATAATTTGGATATAATAAGGTTTTTTTTCCCAGGAAACTTGAATTTCGAATTGGCTTATTTTACCTTGTAGGGAAAAGACATTGATGTTCGCAGACATTAATTTGGATAAATACAGATTTGGCCTGAATTTCTTGTGCTTACGGCCGGGTCAATAATGGGAGAGATTGTTCTGTGCTATGTTATCAGTTTGGCTGGCAATCATGTCTTCTGTCTAGAGAAAGGACAGAGTGATGCAAAGTGAATTTCCACATTAGATTTGAAATACGAAGTGTGTATTAGCAAAGCAAATAAGCAAAATATGAAGATGTTTAAAAGAGTACTTTTTGGATCTTTAAGATAAAGGTTGTGAGTCTTTAGGCTCCTTAAATCTGATTCTGGTAGTTGTTGTCTTGTTGAAACTCGAAAGAAGAATAACATTCTGAAAGAGTTAATAATTTCAAAAATTGGTACTCAAATATTTAACTTTTTTATATATCCTTCACATGCCGAATCAAGTTTTGACTATATCTTATCTTACCTGTGAACCTTCTGTTTGCAGAGCTCACCCTCTTCCATTTTTTCTCTTCTTTCATTCATTGATTGCTAATAAAATGAAGATGTTATCTGTGCTCCTTGACATAATTGTATCCTCTATCTTCTTTCTTGTATTCAGCATCCCCGATCACCATCAATCCCATCGTTTCACCTCTCAGTTCCTTGCTATAATGTGCATTGTATTTCGTTAGCAAATGAATCTTGAAGATCCTGTTTGATTAGGAAAGGAAAGAGATGCATTATCATTATTATTATTATTTTATTATTATTATTATTATCATTGTCATTATTATTATTATTATTATTATTGTTGTTGTTGTTGTACCAAGAATTCCTAACCTATACATCACGCATGGCACTCCTATCACTAGACCAAAGCCCTGGGGGCTGGAAAGAGATGCTTTATATCTCAAGTTTACAGAATTGCAAGAGAAACATCATTGGATTTGTAGTTAAGCAATTATAGTTCCATCTTATGTCTTGGGCTGCATTTCTTTTTTTTATTAGTTCTAATATTGTTGTCGAGCGGTTAAATTTCATTTATATCATTGGAAGGAGCTAACATGGTATAACTTGATGACACTTGCAGGTATAAAGCTGCTATCAAGGCTGATCCTTTGTGTTATGAGGTATGTAAGTTCTGCTGTCACATTCTTTCTACTGTAATTTGTCATGAAAGTCTTTGTTATAGGTATTGGTCAGATGTTTCTTGGCTTCTTGCTTAGTTTTTTCTCCTCTTTTTGGGAAAGTGTGGGGAATAAACCTTGGCAGTTATTGTATTAGAAGTCAAATTTATACCGCAAAACCCTACAAGTTACTTGGTTATCTTATATCCATGTGTTTTCTGATCCAGAAGCTTTGTAGGAGGCTTTTATGTTTTCAATTCCATGACAGTTTTCTGAAATTCATCTATGCTCATTTCTCCCTTTTCAGGCATTGGAATGTCTAATAGAGAATCACATGCTCGCTTGTGATGAAGGTGAGAACCCTTTGCTGGTCAAAATGGAACTCCTTGGAACTATGAAATTGTATGAGTTAGTTAACAGAATCATAATGCTGTAAACAATGTAAGTACTCTTGTTTACAGAGTTGGTGGATCTAAGGTACTCCAAAAATTGTTGGTCTGTGTTTCTATGAAGTAATGAAAGTTCTCTTTTCTTGAACCAAACATTATATTACTGTTTAGTACTGTTAAAGGTTCATATAATACATGCTTAAGCTTTGAAAGTACGTGCCGACAGTTGGCTGCTCTGAGTTACTTAGGCAGCTTCTATGCAGGCTTCAAGGTGCTAAGGCATGCTTCTCATTGACTATAAGCTCGATTTTGCAGATGGCTGCATTATGCAATATATTATATAACTGGCGAAATGATATTAATTGCTAAAGAAAACTTTATGAATGAATATCTAGTATAAAAGTAGCCACAAAACCTAACTTAAAAAATCAAAACCACATCTTTTCATCTCAATTAGAAATTTAAAATAGTTTTGGAACAACTGATATGATTTTTACTTTATATATTCACTTAACTGTAGCCTTTTAAATTCCATAAACTGTATAAGTATTATCTGTGTTTTTGTTATCCTATAAATATTTTTTTTTTGATGAAGTAAGTGGAATATATCATTAAAGGCATCAAGAAGATGCAAAAGTTACAAAAGAAGTGAGTTTGACAGCTCATTTACAATTAAGCGCTACAAAACTAGAGAGCTGACAAAGTCCAAGAAAACATTAGAGTTTTTTATAGTAGTAAGGTTAGCCCAGTGAAACAAATTAACCAAACATCTAGCCTTTAAGCAACCTATTGATGTTGATAATCCATCAAAACATGTACTATTCCTTTCGACCCAAATACACCAAAGAATGCTTGCAGGTGCCATATTCCAGACTTTTTTTATGGTTCTGTCAACTTCCCTTGAGGTCCAGCTCACATATCCAGCTCACAACTTCCCTTTAAATAACATATATATTCTTTTTGTTTGCAGCTTTATTTACTAAAGCATGCACTTTAATTGTGTTTTTCATTTAAAACCTTGATGTTTGTTGACATTTTATGCTTTACGCCTTTGAATATGCTTTATTGTTGGCATTATTATTGAAAATTTTGGATTTTGAAGATATTATTATTATTTGGGTAATCTTTAGTGAAGACTGTATTATTATGAAAACTGACATATTCATTAGCTGGTTAATTTCAGAGAAAACCCTACTCTCATGTTTGCAATTTGGTCCGGAAGATGGGTGGCTCTCTTCGTTCTATTCTTGTTTGATAAAGAAGGTAATCATTTCTTATGGGAAAATACATAAGTTGGCAACCGAACTATGGACCAAATCCCTGTTACGCACACACTCAACCTTTTAAAAGTGTGTCTAAGACACACCGCTTTTTTCTTGATCACTTTACCTAAATATGGGTAATGTCACGCACCAATAAGGTTGTGACACGTGTCATTAACATAAATAAAAAAGAAAATATAAAATTACACATATACCCGCATCTTCTTCAACCCCGCCTCTTCCACCTCCGTCTCCTCCTCCATGGACCACCTGAAAAATTAGAACACACAATTCAACCCAAAAATTAGGAGCCCAAGTGATTTAATCCCAATAAGCCATGGCTCACACCACCGTATCATCACCACAACAAGGCCATTGTTCAAAAAAAAAAACGCAACAATGGCAAAGGTAGATCGAAAATAGAATAAGAACGGCCTTCTCTCTATAATTCCTTGGGTACCATATCTACTGAAGCTTATTTACATCAACAAAAATATAAACTGGCTATTTTCATTTATAGCTCTCTTCCAAAATTTTGTTTGTCATTCCCATGGCTGCCGCCATCACCACCAACTTCCAGAATAAAAAATTCAGCCTCCTCTTCAACGTCAGAAGCTAAGAATCCTAAATCTGAGATAGATAACCGCAAAATCAAAGGAAAAAGCGGATGCACGCGATAGATGTAGCCGAAATTGCTCACAGGAAAAAAAAGCTATATTAATTGAAAAATTTGCGATGATGACAAAATTTTATCAAGTGGGAATGAAATCAAACATATAAAAAAGGAGGCTAGAGAATGAAAGATATTGGAAGCTTGAGATTAATGCAAAATATTTATATTTAAGAGGGTAATAATTTTGAGAAAGAAAAAGAAAAGGGATTTGGGGGTGGGGGTGGCTGGCGGAAGAGAGAGACAGAGGAAGGGTGGGGAAGATGAGGGAATTGCTGACACGTGGCATTAAATAAATATTTATACAGTATTTTTATTGGTAGACGCGCTTCTATCGTGGTGTTTTACACATGCCGAGTCCTGGTCAAAGGTGTGTATTAGACACACTTTTAAAAGGTTGAGTGTGTAATATTATTTTCGCCCACAGAAAGTGTGTAACAGGGATTTGGTCCATTGTTCAGGTGCCAACTTATGTATTTTGCCTTTCTTATGAGACTACTTTGTATTCCAGATGACCATCTTTGTGGGATCATAAACACTTGACATTGCATGTTTTACTCTCATCTATTGAAAGTACAGAATATCGAATTTGTATTTTATGTTGATAAATTGACAGAAGTATCTGTACATGAACTTTTACAGTAATAATTTATGAGTTGTATAGACTATTTTCATTTTTATGCTTTTGTGTACCCATTTATTTTTTAGTGGAATAATACTTTCTTTTGCTGTGCTTCCCAGTACGATAAAGAAAATGTGGTGGAAGCCAAATTTAGAGAGCTGGAACAGGGTGGACCTAATACAAAGACGTCGGAAAAATCTGTTTTATGTACGCTTAAAGCCAACACTGATCTTTTGGCCTGCAAAGCCGAGTACTATCATCAATGCGGTGAATATCAAAAATGCTTTGAACTAACTTCTGAGTAAGTTGGTAACCAACCATAAAGGGGATCATGTCCTTTTTTCTTTTTATTTGATTGTTATGCTACTCTGTGCACATGTATGTTGTTACGTAGTTTACATCACTGGTTGAAATTTGGCGAGCTTTTCCTTTTTCTCTTATCCTTTGGTACATGATGTAGTACAGATTGCTTGAAAAGGATCCATTCCATCTCAAGTGTACCCTGGTGCATTTGGCAGCAGCAATGGAGCTAGGGCATTCCAATGAGCTGTATCTTATGGCTTGCAATTTAGTGAAGGATTATCCTCAAAAGTGAGTGCTTATATTTTGGTCTTGCAGTTTTGAAAAGTATATTGCTCGTTTTCATTCACAAAATGCATAACTATTGTGTGACGATTTCTTTGCACAACTTGTTATTAATCAAGGAAAATTGATTCTAGTCTTTTTTATTTTTTATTTTTGGAAAAATGACTTTGTATAGCCGCTCTCAAAATAATAGCGGAAAAATGTATATTTTTTGTATATATATACATTCTGTATGTTATATACAAAAATTATACAAATTTTATACACTTTTTCGGCTACCAAATGTAAATAGTTTCTAGCGCGGGCTAAAAGTGAAAAAGGCCCTTTTTCTTTTGCTGGGGGTTGAGTTCTTTTCGAGGTCAACAGAGTTAAAAGTGATTATCCATGCAAAGATCTGTTGTTGACATTTAACCTATACATTACCTTGATAATGTATTTCTCTGATAGAAATGACCCAAACAAGGCGGGGTGTTGGGGTGGTGGTTTTTTCTCATGTAAAATATTTAAAAGTATGTATTCAGCAGAATGGCCGAACAAGATAACGGAGTTGAGGAATATGAAAGGCATACCAATTAATGATAGCATTATGTTCTCTGGTTTAGTAACTTGCATACTCTATTACCCACACCCAACCTTAGAATCCTTTCCAGTTCATGTGGAATCTGCAAACCCAGTTTTTTTCTCTGGAACACCCTTTATCTTTTACAACTTTGCCTGGTCAAATTAATCCCATCCAGTGCTAACACCACACCAAGCTATCCACGCTTTGAGAATTATTTTTTGCCTAAGCTCTAATGTCAATAAGTTTACTTTCCATTAGAGAGTAGATTTTACGACAACTTGCAGCTAACTTTGTCAGAATAGCTGAATAAGGACAAATGCATATTGCTGATAAGATACTACCAGCATATATTGTTTCATTCTTCATTAAAGGTGAGCTTGTGCTCCCCACAAGCATATTACTGGTGTCAGTTGAATAGATAACTATTGGACGGCAATCTCCGTGGTTAGGTGTCAGTTGAGTAAATAACTGTGTTCGGAATGTAGGCAATGGGACCTTCACTTTCTGTTTTTGCATCATATTCAAGAAAAGACTTTGGCCAATTGCTGGATGAATTAGCATAAATGTTGCCTGGGAGTAGGGGTGGCAAACTGACGGGTCAGGTCGGATATGGACGGGTCGAAAACGGATAATGTAAAAAACGTGTAAATTATCCGGCCCGATCTATATTTAATACGGATAAAAACGGGTTAACCGGCGGATAATATGGATATCCATATTATCCATGGCTTCTTGAATATGATCACTTTTGGGAAAATTCCAAGTCTCCCAAACTTGAGGAACCCCCAATTTGAGGCTTTACAAATGTAAAAGTTAAACCCATTAGTTATACATTGGTTATCTACTTGGTTATCCACTTTCTAAGTGGATATTATGGTTCTTATCCATACTTGACCCGTTTTTAAAAAGTTCATTATCAAACCTATTTTTTAGTGGATAATATGGGTGAATAACTGTTTTCTTTTAACCATTTTGCCACCATTACCTAGGAGAGATGGCGTATCAATTCGTTTGGATTGATGAAAATGTCCTCTTTATTTTCTATGTCCACTGTATGTGGTGAAAGTTGCTATTACATCATTAACTAACATTTTACGTTATTTTCTAGAGCCTGTGGTTAATCTGATTAGCTCACTAGATCATGATTTTATTCAGGGCTCTCTCATGGTTTGCTGTTGGTTGCTACTACTATTGTATCAAGAAATATGACCAAGCACGACGCTATTTTAGGTATGAATATTATGTCATCATGTGGTGAAGAAGAGGATTTGTAATTCTACCCTTTCTTTCTCTCTCATGGAACCTTTTATTTTTTCATGACAATATTTCCGGTGAAACATTTTCTTCAAGTCTTGGAAGATGGGGTTTGTAATTCTGCTGTCTTATGGAACTCTTTTGGTACATGTGTAAATAGTTCTAGTGAAACACATTCTCTTAACAAGCTGAGTGGCGGCAGTGCAATTAAAATTGATTATTCTGTCACTTAAAGACATGAAGTGATGCGAAGCATGGGGTCCTTGCTTCACGTGGATGAAGCAAAAGAATTTCGAGGAATGATGCGCTTTGAATAGTAAAGTGGAAATAGATTTGGACTAGCAATCACTTTTTTGAATGACTTTGTAAGATGCAAAAAGGACAAAAAAAGAAGAGAATAAAGTAGTCCCATTTGCTATCTGAATACTAGGACACTCTTCAGATACAGTTCACTGTTCTCTTCATTGTTGTTTGCTCACTTCTCTGGTTTGCAGCAATCCCTACCATTCTATGCTTTTTCCTATTTGTTTCTCTTGTTTTTCTAAAGTGTGAAGTAATTTATTAATCATAAGCTGGCACCAACCTTATTCAGTGTTGTGTGCATAAAAATAGCTCCAAAATTAGTAAGGAACTGAGGCATTGATCGAGCTTTCTATATCATTTACATTTTGATTTGCGCCAAAAAGCTAAGTTATAGATACACTTGTATTTGGTCTTCATTATGTTCTCCACTTATCAAGAAAAAAAATATCTTCATTTTGTTCTCCTTTTTCCCTTGAAAGATTCTCTGATTTCTTTCTCTCCATATTACCCGCCATATTGCTGCAGCGACTGTATTCCAAATTGCTCTTGTATCCTTGTTTAGTCCTTCCCTGTTCCAGCAGAGTAGTTCTTTTGTGTTTCCTAACAAAAACCCTGTTATCTCTAAAAGGTTCAGAAGAATGCTCCATAACTGCTGAGTTACTTTCCAGTGGATGAAGAGATGACTCGAATCTTCATAGCCTTCCTCACACATCACACTCCTGTTACATAAAACTGCTCTTCTCTGTAGGTTATGTTGAGTTAGACATACTTCTTGTGCCACTAACCATGTAAAACATTGCACTTCATAAGGGGGCTTTGCTCTTCCATATTTGTTTCTAGGGCCAATTTCTTCCATGATTGTTGCTTTTCGTCATGGTTCTGTAGCGAACTAACAGAGAAAACACCATTTTCCTGTTCCTTCCAGATTGTCGAATCTTTCTGTTGATTTAGAACAGGCCAAATTGCCAATTACCTGTACGAATCTGCTCATTTCTTCTATCTCCCAATCATTGCAGCTTCTTCTAACAACCTGTTATCGGTGCATTCTGATTTCTAGCGGATGTGTATAGACGTGTAAACTACTCTTTTAGGGGTTCAGTCGAAGCCAGGTCCAATTTTCTTCTTTTTTATTGTTTGTCTTCTTTAAGATGACTGAATTGTGTATTCACCTTTTCTAGGCATTTTCTCAATTTCATTTTCTATCCTCCAATTCTTGATCTATATGCTGAATGTTAGGACAATAATAAAACGACTCTTTGCTATTAAAACTAGTTATTAGTATCGTCTAAGTTGCTCGGACACGGATGCGGGTGTTCGACACGGGTGTGGAACCTTCGAGATGTAAATGCTAATATTTGGGGACACGGATCCTAGTACGGATACGGGTGCGGAGATTCGGCTAAAAATAATTTAAAAAAATAAAAAATCTCTAAATTATGAGAAATTTGTGGAATACTTACGTATAGCTTGGAAAGTGTGGATTTCTTTTTTATTCTCAAGTTGTAGATAAGTAAACGATTGATTTTCTCAATAAGGTATGCTATTTTCTTCAAATTTACCAAAGTTTTGGTTCTGATTTTGGGAATCGAATTGTATCTCGTCTCGAATTTTTTCGTCCGTCGTGGTTAAAGTACCCAAAATTATTTGACCAAATCCGGTACGGATCCCATACCCACACTCATACTAGTGTCGTGTCGACACAAGTGCGGCACCTAAGCTGCCGTGTCGGAGCAACTTAGAGTACCGTTACTGAAACAGATAAGTATGTAATCAATGTTGCAAATTGGCCAAATATTGAAAATTAAAAATAGATTTTGTAGTTGAAATTATATTCTTGTAGGATTGTTAAAATTTTAATTTTAATTTACTGGAATTAGTATTTTAATGTTATATGTGGGGTGTAGAAATTAGTAATGTAAATTGCAATTTTGACATTGCAAGTACTAAATCGTCATATGTTAGGTAATTTTTTGTATCTTCAATATATTATAAGCTTAATTCGAAGAAGTTTGTGCTTCACTTCTTGCTTCTCGCTTAAAGTCCTAAGGGTCTTCTCACCTTTTGCGCTGTTGCTTTTGAAAACACTGGTGGTGGGTCAAGGTGGTGGATTGAGGCTTTTCCCCTCCTTAGTAGTCCAGATTATTTTCTCTGAATATCAGTTTCCTGGGAACAACAACTTTCTACAAAAAGTTTGAATCATATGCAGTTCTTCTGAGGTTTTCAGGGTCTCCTATTTCATTTGTAAAATATCTACTTTGGGTGGTGATTTTCTACTGAACTGCTCCATCACTGAAGTTGGGACTGGTCCTTCCATTGAGGATATTAAACACTATGATTTCCTTTAGAAAATTATTCTCAAGTCACTTTTACCTGATAAAAAAGATATTCTTAGCTATTGTGCAAGTTCTTAAGCTTTGAGAGCTAAATGCTATCTCATATGTCTTGTTATTTCGAAAATACTAATGTAGCTCACAAATAAATCATCCACATTTCTATCATTCGTTGAAGGTCTCTTTTTGTTTTCTGAATTTTGATATTTGGCAGTAAGTCAACAAGCTTGGATGGAACATTTGCTTCAGCTTGGATAGGCTATGGAAATGCTTATGCAGCTCAAGAAGAAGGAGACCAAGCAATGTCAGCTTACCGTACTGCTGCTAGATTATTTCCTGGGTAAATCCTAATTTTGCTTCAAAATTTTGTATTATCCAAGCCGTGGAGGACGTAATATTCTCAAATTTTCTGATAGACTTCAACTTTGAGCTCAACACGTTATGAACTTCTATCTTGTGTTAATTGTTTCATCCATAGTAAATAATACTCTTCCACCTCATGGATAGTTTGTACCTTTGCGACTTATAGCTGACACCAAACATTGACTGCCATAATAAGACACTGAATTCCATGAAGTTGGACTAAATGAATTTCAGCATGTTAACACTTAACAGATAATCTTAATGGAGCCGGTGCTATCATGACATATTAACACTGCATAGTTATTGAAGATTAGGGAAATTATATAAATCTGACTTGCATCTTGAGTGTGCTCAACTGTTAAAGCTGCAGCTGTAAAATGAGGTGTCTAGATTGAAACCCAACTCCTGAAAAGAAAATGAAAAAGAGAAAAAAAAAAAGAAAAAGAAGAGGAATGAATGCAGAAGAAAGACTGATTTTTTATGGAGATAATTTTGTACTTTGCACACTAGAGTAGCATTGCACCCGTCAATGAAGTTGAGTAGTAACAGTAAACTCTGAATATTATTAAAGATAAAACAAAAAATAAGGTCATTATTACATAATATTCTTTAGTCATTTAACTGAACTAAATAGAAATCGGGTTAATTTACATTGTGGACTAAAACTAGAAGTCATTTTTAAACAAAATAATGTGCTTGTCCGTACCCCTGATTTCTAAAATTTATGTGGTGGCGTATTTGAACTCTAGATCCACACCCGTGTTGGATACTTGCACCCGTATCCGAGCAACATAGGATATTACTTATAGGGTATATGTATTTCCTTGACAGGTTGAATCCTTAAATTTTCTTGTCCAGGTACCATTTGCCTACTTTGTACATTGGAATGGAATATATGCGAACTCACAGCTTTAAACTGGCTGAGCAGGTGACTATACATAGTTCGTGGCTTCCAATGATCAATTCTTTGTCATGCTTTAGTTGTGAGAACAAATATTCTGCTTCTCCCCGTCTGCACGAGGATGCGAGCTGGTTATTTACCCAGAAGTTTATTTCACATTTGATTGTCTGGAGTTCCCTTTATAAAGTGCTGATAGTGTTCCGCTTTAGTTTTTTATGCAGGCCAAGTCAATATGCCCCTCAGATCCACTTGTATATAATGAACTTGGAGTTGTTGCTTATCACATGAAGGAGTAAGGATCCTTACTCTTGTGAAACTTGCAGCGTTTATGATTTAATTGCATAACCTAACTTTTGAAACAGCTGCATAATTGTTTTTCTTTTCATTTATCCTCTAATAGTGATAAAACATGTATATTATGTTTTGACCTCTAACTGTTCATGTTTTGGAAATTATGGGTTATTTCATTCTGAAGTCTTGTTCAACCTAGTAGCCTCGAGTATCTTGCCCATTTTTACCAAAGCATCTGGTTATCTTTCTCGTGTTATATTCTTATACATTTTTGCCAGCATTGCATTTATTTCTCTCTTCAAACTCTTTCAGGTATAAGAAAGCAGTGCGGTGGTTTGAGAAAACATTGGCTCACATTCCATCTTCCTTAAGTGAGATGTGGGAATCAACTGTAATCAATCTGGCTCATTCCCTCAGAAAATTAAAGTAAGTGACTTATGCTACTATTAGTTTTATATGTACAAGTTGTAGTTTGGTGGCCATTTGTTCTCCTGGTTAGATCCAAAATGACATAGATAATGAGGTTACATGTTTTTCAGGATTGCTAATCATACTATTCTTGGATGAGATTTGTATAGATATTTCTAAAAGTTCTTCAAAATGTTAATAATTCAACTTGTTTTGGTTAATGTGCTAATGAGTTTACCAGCCGGAGAAATCTGAACGGCTTCACCAGCAATATGATTACTACTTTTTTGCTTCGAAAAAGCATGGAATGGAGTTGTTATATGGATGATGCTCCGAATTGATTGAGAGAACTTGTAGTTCCTTAGATCATTGACTATGTGCCCCTCCTTTTGGGAATTAATATTACGGGTGTCAAATTTGCCCAGCCAAGCAGATTCTATCCTTTATTTAATTGGTTCAACTGTACCCAATATTTTGACACGAAATATTTTAATGAAAAATCATTGAAAATTTAACGAACAGTAACTTTTGAACCCATAAGTTTTAAAAGTCCAATGAGTTCCGTGTTAAGAACTTTACAAGTCGAACCCATCAAGTTTAAATTCTACTTTCGCCTCTAAAAGTACAATGGTTTCAGTGTGGGTAACATTAAGCATAACTTTCTTTCAGGAGGTACAACGAAGCAATTACATATTATGAGAGAGCCCTTGCGTTGTCTACGAGAAGTTTAAGTACTTATGCAGGTCTTGCATACACTTATCACCTTCAGGTAATACATCCCTGAAAAGGAAATCTCTGATTGCACAGATTAACAAAACCAGGCTTTGATATGTTTCTCTTGCTATTGTGCAGAACAATTACACTGCAGCTATTACATACTACCACAAGGTGGGTTTTCTACTTAATGTAAATATCCTCATTTTGAGAAGGATATGGTTTTATCCCTAAAGATTCATTTTAACTAAAACATGAAGGAAATTACTGAAATGGAAAATATTGATTTTTCTTTTGAAAAGTTTTACCTATATTTTGCACAATTCAATATTTATTGTCTATTTTTCCGTTTTCCAAACAGGCTTTGTGGCTCAAACCAGATGACCAATTCTGCACAGAAATGTTGACTTCAGCTCTGGTTGATGAAAGCCGCCAAGGGATTGACCCAATGGTTGAATCTCGCTGTGGCGGTCTATTTATCTAATTTGGAACCCGAGGAAAAGAATTCTCTGGTGATGTTATTAATTTGTAATTTTCTATAATGATTTCTCCAAAAGGTTAGGAAAAAATTTACAAGATATAATTTTGTCTTGTTGTATCATAGACTAGTAGGAGTCGATAAATTTGTATCTGCAGCTAGTTCTAGCAGTTAAAACTTGTACTAAGACTGGATCAAGATTTTTTATAACATAATATGATTGCATTCTTTTTTCTTTCTTTCTTGAGTAATAAAGGTTTATATGCAGTATTTATTGGTTTGGTGCAAACACTTTATAATGAGTAAGTTTTTTCTAGAAGCTAACAGATAAGATAATTTAATATTGCTTGTTCTCATTGGCCATAATCCTGATGGCTCGAGAATTTTTGTATTTGAGAATGCGTTGAGTAGGATGAAAAGACAGTCATCATATCATAATATGACCTAAAAAAACAGAAAGAGCTAATTATGCATAAAATTTATTAGATAATAAGGACAGTACCAAGTGTTGTATAGTAATATGCAGAGAGGAATTGAAATTAGACATAATTAGTTCTGGTATGGGCAGTGTTGAGTGGTGGTTTTATCATTATTGCCCTGTTGCTCAATGTTAGACTCAGAAATTGGTGGTCCCTTAAGTAGTCCAGCGAACAGTTGTGCTGGATCATAGTATATCTCAACATCCTCTGCTCTTAGAGATTCATCTACCTGCCAACATAGGAAAAACAACTAGTTAAATCGACAAGTTTTATATAACAGTAGTGAACAACTTAATACTATCTTTTTTTCTTATATACTATAAAATAAAAAAAGTTGGAGAAATTCCTGTTGAGCTTCCGGGTTTGAATCTAAGAAGTATGGGCTCGCCTCTCTACTCTCCCCACAGCTAAAATATTGGTTAGGCTTGGGCCTAGCTAAGATTAAAGTGCTAATTCTTACTACTAAACAGTCTTGGGGGCTAAACTTAACAATGTCATTCCTTTTAGAGCTTTTTTGAAGAATTGTGCTTCATCTAATTTTCTCCTCCCAATAATAACAGCGAACAAGAAGTGGAAGGATAAGAAGTCCAATTAGTCAAAACATAGTTGTTACGTACTTATTATGCTTCTATTTCTAACAAGAAGATATATATATACTGCCTTCTGCTTCTACTCCAAGAAGAAGAAGAAGAGGAAACTCCAAAAATATTCTCTTAAAATTTCTGCCAAATAAAATAAAAAGGAAAGGACCTTCATTATTCCAACGCCATAAAACTGGACCATCTCACGAGTAGGGGCATGTCCTTTAAAAGGTCCTTCAAAGAAACCCCAATGTCTGAATTTGAAAGTCACAACAGGAGGACCTGTATATACGTTTATCACTTCCCACGCGAATCCTCTTGGAAAAGCTGATCGAAAAGCATCGTGAGAAGATTCAAAGCTCTCTTCATCTGCTTTGTAGTATTTGAATTCCTCTGGCACTGAACTCTTTAGTAAAGCATTGTAACTTCCCACTTTTAGTGTCTCTTCTGCTGATAGTCCCTCTCTTCCTGTTCACTCCATCGCCAATATATAAATCAAACCTTCTATACCTTTTTAACATGCAAATTTTCTTGATTTTTATTAAAAAGATTTAAAATATAGATATATGAAGAGTATCTTGGAGTATCAGTCACATTCACATAAATCTTTAAGAGAACGTTTAATTTGTTTTGAATGATTTAGATTTATTAAAAGAAAATAAGCAATTATAAAAAAAATACACTTAGAGCCCGTTTGGGTCAGCTGATTATTAATAGTTGACAAGGTTGAAGTGTATTTTTAAGTGCTGAAACTGATAACAAACAGTTGATGGATAAACTGTTCTTTTGTTAAAAAGATTAGAATACCCTTAAAACTTTATAAAATATTATAAATTAAAAATTTCTTTGTAAAGAAGCTGAACAACCATTATGGAATTAAGAGAAATTTAGAAAATTTATTTTGGGAAAAATATTTTGTAAATTAAAAAATATTATTAAGACTAAAAGCCTTGGTCAAATTAAAAGTGCTTATAAGCTTAAAAGCCATAAGTTGGGAGTGACTGCTGATTACCCCAACTTATGACTTAGAGCCCGTTTGGATTAGCTGATTGTAAATAGCTGATAGGTTTGTAGTGTTGAAAAGTTTTTTTAAGTGCTGAAACTGATTTTTAAAATAAGTATTTACGTGTTTGGATAGAAGTGCTGAAACTAATAATATACAGTTGATGTGTTTGATTAAAAAGTGCTGATAAGCTATTCTTTTGTTAAAATGACAAAAATACCCTTGAATTTTTTTCAAAAGATTATAAATTATAATTTTTTTTGTAAAGAAAAGAATTAATAACGAATATGGAATGAAGAAAAAGTCAAGAAATTTATTTTGGGAAAAGTATTTTGTGAATTAGAAAATATTATTAAGAATAAACTAGTAAAAATGTTGGTCAAAATAAAAGTGCTTATAAGGTGAAAAATCATAAGTTGGGGTGACCAGCTTATGACTTATGGCTAATTTTAACTTATAAGCACTTGGCTAATAAGCACTTTGAGTGTTTACCAAACGTGTAGATAAGCCAAAATGTGCTTATAAGGCAGTTTGACTAGCTTATAAACTTAGCCAAACACCCTCTTAATGCATATTTTAGCTTATAAGCACTTTGACTGATTATCAAACTTGCCGTTAATGGACTGAGATATGAATGATTCCATTTAAGCAGAAAGAAACGTTTGTTTTTGTAAGCCTTACCATTAACAAAGAGTTTGAATTTTTCAGGGTTAATGGTCCTAAAGTCCTTAACGCGAGTCTTGTGAGAAAGCTCCATTTCCCATGATTTTATAGCATTTTGAACTGTTTCTTCCAGAGACCCTTCTGCCCATACCTTCAAAACCATATATTTATATATGGAACCATAAACAAAACAAATAGTATTGTCAACAAAGATGATAAATATTACTTACTTCCATTCTAATTTATATGAATCAATTTGATTCGACTCAAATTTTAAAAAAAGAAAGAGTAAAGACTCTTGATTCTTATGGTTTTAATTAAACATGACATAATATTAATGTAGTCATAAACGTTTTTTGTTAAGGTAAAGTGAGGAGTTTAAATTTAACAAAAAAAAGATTAAATGAAAGAGTAATACAAACCTTGGTTCTTCCTTGTTCAAAGAGATGATTAACAGCGTCATAAATGGGAGGGCCACCATGTCTCCAATGGATGCTTCCTGCAGTAGCAGCTTGTTCTTCATGCAGGAATTTCCTGTACTTATCACTTGCCATTTTAATCCTTTCCTTTTCACCTTCCATTTTTGGACTACTTTTAAAACTTTCAATTATCCCCTCTCTCTCTCTCTCTCTCTCTCTCTCTAAGCTTATTGAATTGGTGAATCCAACTATTGGTGGCTATGCCCTTTTATAGATAAAATTCCGGTATGATTATCTGTTTCAATTTATTATGTAGTAATATTACTGTTTCCAGAGTCTTCTTTAATCACACTATTCTTAATTTGTTTTAATTATTATAACTTATACTAATACTTTTTTATGTAGTTTTTAATATGTAAATTATTTTTATAAAAATTAAAGTATCTATATGTCTGAATTCGAGTTTTTAACGGGGATCTACACAAATAGCCGGCCATATTTATTGTTTACTTTTTCTAGCCATATATATAGATTATACATATATAATACATAAATTATGCATACACTATACCTCCACTGGCTATTTTTAGTTTAAGCGGTTAGGTAGGCGGCTATTTGGGTTAATTCTTAATGGGAATATTGTTATACAAATAGCCGTCCATATTCATTGTTTATTTTTTCTAGCCAATATACATAGATTATATATTATACATGAATTTTACATATATTATATATTCGCCGGTTATTTTTAATTTAAGAAATTAGGTAGGCGACTATTTAGGATAATTCTTCTTATCCTCCCTCCCCTTAATGTATCTAAAAATGAATAGGTTGTCTAAAGTTAACTCTCAATTAGAAAATTAATGGCTGAAACCAAACACGGGCAATGCGTGTGATTACTGGTTGAGTGAGCCATTTGAATTTTACAGTGAGTTTTAGGGCGATTAATTGGGCTCACAGAGTGCGATTTCTGCATTGGTTTGCATCAAAAACTCTACATAGATATTCCATCTCAACATTTTGAAAAACAAAAAATTTGTAGAAATTTTACAGCAATTAAAAAAAAAAAAAGTTCAGGTAAGCTAGACTGTACAGTATCTACCGAACCAAAAAGGAGAACGATTTACTTTAAGGATATTTACTGTCAAAAATTGGTCCCAATTCACATAAAAAATCAAGTAGTTTGATAATGGATTGGAGGACGGACTAAACTATCGTTAGGCATTGAATTTCTTAGAAACTGTAATTTGTTAGGAGATGGGGAAATATCATATCAATAAACAAGCTGACACACGATTTGACAAATAATTGGACGAGAAACTATTAGTTTATGTTGATTGCAGAATTATACTTAAAGGAACTCTAATTGGAAGAGAATTGAATTGTGACAAAAAAATATTTTTTTTAGGAAAAAGAACATAGATAATAGAAGAATCATAATATAAGACATGATAATCACATATATAGTGCCTTGTTGAGGACATCTAATGAAAATTTTGTGCCCAAATTTATACTTAAACAAGTTGCAGAGGCGGATCCATGCTGTAAATTTTATGGGTTAAACCTTTAAAATTATTAGTATAGAACACATTGTATTTTCTAAGTTATGAGTTCATATCGACTCTTTATTACAATTTTAGTCAGTTTTTACTCATAAATTATGGTCCGCGCCGAAAGTATTGAGTTCAGATGGACACGACAATAATATTACCTTGACTCCATTTATAGCTTACAAGGAAAAACAAATAATAGCATAGCATAGGCAATTTTTCAAAAAACATTTAGAGGGGAGATTTTAAGAAAATGTTTATGTTTTGATCATCTTTTAACCCCCCAAAAAAGAAAAAGATATTTATCCGAAAAACTGTTGAAAACCATCTAAAAGAACTTTCTGAGGCCAAACGGATGATAAAAAATTAATGATGCCTGCTTTCCGGCTGCTATCATAAGTAAATAATTAATACGTATAACATTTTTTGACAAGGTGGGTTGCTCTGATGGTAAGCACCGTTCACTTCTAATCAAGAGATTGTGAGTTCGAGTCACCCAAGAGCAAGGTGGGGAGTTCTTGGAGGGAAGGATACCGATGATCTATCTATTGAAAACAGTCTCTCTACCCAGGGTAGGGGTAAGGTGTGGAGCTTTCATTTATTGTATCACATCAAAGAGTGTAAGTAAATCAACTGTTAGTGCTAGCCTAATTACGTAAATATGGACATCTACAGAAGATATAACCAAAACATGGAACGTCATTAATTAGTGTTGAAGACATGATTTATTAAATAAAATTATACTCTTCAATTTCAGTGCAATCTCCATAGTGTACACCGCATGTAGACTTTCCATGGCAATCACTATCCACAATAATTGTAGCTGAAAATTTCTCACAATTAATATTGTGACAGTTAGATAAATGTTCCGGTGGGAGGTAGGTGTCAGGTCAACTCTCGTTATCTTGTCAATGAGTTTGTTGAGAATCACCATGTTTCCTGTTCAAATTTCAGCAAAATCGAAGCAAATATATAACTCACTCCGATCACTTTTACGTAACACGTTTTGACTTTTCATGCCCCTTAAGAAATAATAAATAAAGTACATAATTTATCATGTTACACATATTAATTGATGCATATTTTATTGGATTTGAGAAAATAATTTGAAATGATAATAAATACTGTGGGTAAAACAGAAAAAAATTTGTTGTCTTCTCTTGATATGCGTAAAGTGCCAAGTAAAAGTGAACACCTATTTTTAGTATACATCCAAAATAAAAGTGATCGAAATAATAGATAATTTCTTTTTATTTGTCTAAATCTCGATTGATTAATTTATTTGATATTTGTATTGGTAAAATCTAACAAGTACCCGTAAAATAAGTTGACATGCATGTAAGTTAGCCCGACAAAGTTATAAAAAGAAAAAAGATAAATTCTTCAGTTCATGCAATCATGGTTAAATAGTTCAGCACATGTATAATTATATATGCACTGTTGAGTAACTTAGCTTAGTTGATCTTGATACAAGTAAAATTCGCTATTCGCATTTTGTACTCTTCTCGCCGGGTGTAAATAAACCGGATTGGTTCGGTTTTTATCAAAATCAAATCAAATCAATTATATCGATTTGGATTGGTTCGGTTTTGTCGAATTTTTTGGATTTTCGGATTTTTTGTTACTTAAATATTATTTCAATCTTACTTTGTTAAATATTTGATAAGTAAATATATATTTAGTAAAAATATAAAAAAATGACAAACATATTATCGATTAAAATATTCTTATGGGAGTAAACATAAAATTTAATATATCACTTCGCATTCGAAAAAGATATAAGAATTTAATAGATCTTAACATATGATATGAATATGGAAGAACAAAGAGATAGACGCATTTCAGTAACACTTGATAAAAAAGTGATCATACAACCCATTATTTAAGGTCAATAAATATGGAACACTTCATATTCTATTAAAATTTATATCGCGCAAGAGAATCCCAAATATTTTTAGATATTTTTTAAAGAAAAATCTATATAAAAATTATATGTTTATATGTCAGGTTGGTTCGGATTTTTTTACTCAATACCAAATCAAATCAAACCAAACCAAGTCGGATATTTTAATCGGTTTAATTTGACTTTTCAATTTGGTGCGATTTTTCGATTCAGTTTGTACACCCTACTTCTTACTAACAACTGAAAACTTGATAAAATGGATGTACCTCTTTTGGTTATCACAAGATATTACTACTTTACAAAGGATTATAATTTTTGTTTCCTGTGATATCTTTTTTTACTTTTGGATTATCTTTTTTGGGAAAAATATACAGAACTTTCGATCCGATGTTTTGATTTATAAACGGAAAAGGGCCAGAACTGCCCCTGAAGTATTAGAATTGGTATAAAATTATTTCCGTCTACCTATTTGAATAAAAATGCCCCTACCATTTTTTTTGGCTCAACATACCCTTATTACTAACAGAAAATTCAGAAAAAAAGAAAATTTAATTAATATCCACATGCCATCGTCTCATTGGCCTAACATAAATCCTAAGCCAAATTATAATTAAACCCACTCATAACCCGCCCGGATATTGATCCGCCCCAATTTTAAAACATAACTATCTCTCTCTCTTCGCTATTTCATTTTAGTGAGCATTTATTTACGAGTGTATATATGTCTACGATTATTCACGAAGCAAATTCAAAATTGAGTTCTCTATTAGAATAATTTTTATAAAAAATGGAAGGAATTGTTATATTATTCTTAATGCAAAAAGTTTACATTCTTTAAGTTTATGTAATGGGTATTTTTTATTGTATAATTTTTCTTTATTTGAATTTTCTAGGGTTATTTTCACTATTTTTTGTCATTCCTCTGTGAAATATGAGGATTTTTATTTTAATTTTATATTGTTTATGTAATGTGTTTTCTATTTAATTTATTTTGCTATTTATTCTATTAATATGTCAGCTTTTCTGCTATGTGTAATGGATATTGTGCAATTGTCATATTTCATACACACCGGGTTCATATGATGTACTAATAATACTTGATAATTTTTTAGATAATTTCTTCACTAGTATTTGTTTTCTTCTTTTGATTGTTATCATGGATTTAATTTTCTCGATTGGATTACAGTGCTAAGTCAATTAAAAAAAAGATTTTCTACTCATAATTTGCAAATGAGATGGGCTACTGTGTACGTTGCTATTTTCGGCGGATCTTGTAATGACCCAACCGGTCATTTTGACTTTTAGAATCCCATTCCCCTAAATAAAACTCCCCGTATGTACTTTTATTAATTTATGACTTGCGGGGATGGTTGGCTTAGAATTTGAAAGTGATCGGGTTGAAATTAGAACAATCGGTTCCTTTTGTTTGGCTTTAAAAGGCCAAGTTTGACTTTGTTCAATATTTTGAGAAAACGACTCCAGAATCGGGATTTGACGGTTCCAATAGGTTCGTATGATGATTTCAGACTTGGACGTATATTTAAATCGGGTTTTGGATAAACCGGGAGCGTTTTGGCGCTTAATAATGAAAATCAACTATTTGAAGGTTTAAAGTTCTTTAAATTTGGTTTGGAGTAAGTTTTGGAGTAATCAAGGTCCGTTTGAAATTTTGAGTTTGGGCATAGCTCCGTATGGTGATTTAAGACTTGCACGCAAAATTTGGTGTCATTCCGAGTATTATAAGTATATTTCGGCGCGTTCAGAGTAAGTTTGAAGAATTTGAAATTTCTA